GCCATGACGACGGGCGACTGCTGCCACCTCCCCGGCTCCCTCTGCGACTGCCCGGGAAGCGCTGCCCTCTCCAAGTCGGTGGAGGACTCGGACATCGGGCGCCCGCAGTACGTCACACAGGTCACCGCCAAGGACGGACGGCTCCTCTCTACGGTGATCAAGGCGCTGGGCGCACAGAGGTAAGGCTGCTTTGGGGATTGGGCTTGGGACATCTTGGCTTTTTGTCCCCTTTTTTTTGTGGCTTAGGGGGTTGAGGGAGGTGAGAGTCTCATTTGTGAAGGAGTTTGCCAGGGTGCTAATGTTGAGTGTGAATCCATGTTAGCAAGATGCTTCCCAGGCCTGCGTTTGCTGCAGGAGCTCATGCTGCTGTGTGTGCTGGTGGATGGGGACTCGTGTGGTCATCGAACGCCCCCAGTCAGTGGCGGCACGGGCGGCCTCATGCCCTGCACCTCTGCCGAGGCCCTGCTGAGCACAGCGAGGGCAGGAGGCCATGCTAGCAAGGGTAGCTTGCTGTCATGAGACCCCACCTGGAGTACTGCATCCAGTTCTGGGTCCACAACACAAGAAGCCATGGAGCTGTTGGAGCGGGACCAGAGGAGGCCACAGAGATGATCAGGGGTTGGGGCACCTCTGCTATGGGGACAGGCTGAGAGAGTTTGGGTTGTTCAGCCTGGAGAATAGAAGGCTGTGGGGAGACCTAACTGGAATCTTCCAGGACCTGAAGGGGTCCTACAGGAAAGCTGAGGAGGGACTGTTTGCAAGGGCATGGAGTGATAGGATGAGGGGTGATGGGTTTGAACTGGAAGATGATAGATTTAGACTAGACATTAGGGAGAAATTCTTCCCTGTGATGGTGGTGAGCACTGGCCCAGGTTGCCCAGAGAAGCTGTGGGTGCCCCCTCCCTGGCAGTGCCCAAGGCCAAGTTGGACGGGGCTTGGAGCAGCCTGGGCTGGTGGAGGTGTCCCAGCCCATGGCAGGGGTTGGACTCGGGGAGGGTTCTTTCCAAACCATGCTGTGATTCTGTGATGTATGGGCTGGAAGTGGAGCACAGCCCCTGTGCCGAGACAGTCGTGAAGGCGTGGAGTGGATCTGCAGCCCCAGGGAGAGGAGGGTGTCTGTGTGGCAGGAACTGCAGTGGCCAGCTGTTGCTAGAGGGGACGTGTGGCAGCTTCACTTGCTCAGACTCTTCCTGATGTGACTTCTCATTGTGTATTTTGAGGAGCTTCCAGAGCAGAGGATGCTTGGCAGCGTTGTTTGGTCCAGCCAGTGAGACTGGTCACATTTTGTCTTCAAATCCTATTATAACAGCTGTTATTTTTTTCTAGTGAATTTGGCTGAACGTTGATGAGGTGTGAAAGTGGTGACTGGAAATGTGGGGGAGGAAAGCAGGAAAGCTAGATGAGAACCAAGACAAATGTAATTGCTGTATCTAGCAAACCTGGAGCAGGTCAATAAAAACGCGAGGGGAACTGAGCTTGCTCTCTGACAGTAGATAGGCTGGACAAGAAGTTGTGCAAGCCCTTGAAACTTGTGGAGGTGTGAAAATCATGTGGGGAAGCTGCCTGGGATTACACGTTAAAGAAAACCCAACACAACAGGATTGTTTTTGTGAGGGTCTTCATGGGACGGCAGTTTGTTCACTTTAGTGGTGGTGGGTTTCAGCCTCTCCCTTGTCACCAGCACTTAAAGCAAACCCAGGTGGAGCCGCAGGACTCAGTGAGTTAGCGATGTGCCCTGGCAGAAACGCCCAAGTGCAAGCCTCCGCCACAGCCAATTATTGGAAATACGTGAACTGAAGGAGAAGTCGGGATCCAAATAGGAAGGTAGACGGCACCGCGCTTGGAGAACACAAGCCACGGCAGCGACTGACACCCAAACCTCGCAAGTGGAACGACGCCAGAGCAGCGTGACTGCACTGGAGGGCTGAATTAGTGATATGGTCTGTGCAGCCTGCTGGAAAGCTGCGTTTGGGGGTGCATGGTGTGGGAGCATGACCAGGCCCCCTCCCTCCCCCAGAGAGGAAGGAAGGAAAATGGAGCCTGATAAGAATTTTTTTTTTTCTTGCACTGTCAGCAAATTTTTTCCTTCTGGGTTGTTTATTGGTAGCCAAGGTTATACTCATGCGCTGGAAATATGAAACTTCTCAAACAGGAAGTGAACGGATGGAATATCTTACAGATGCTTTTCTTAGGAAATAACAGATGCATGAGAGCACTTGGGGCTTGGGGTTTTTTTTGGGCTGTCCCTGTCGCTGAGGCTGTGTGAGCGCACTGTAATTGTGTCATTCTGGTACAGCACTGAGCTTTATGGCAATAAAAGTTACAAAATCGTCAATGAATTCGGACTGGGAGGGAATCCTGGAGGTCTTCTGGTCTGGCCCCTTCAGAGCAAGGCCAGCTTCAAAGACAGATCTCGCTGCTCAGAGTGTTGCCCACTGCAGTTTTCAGTGTCTCTGAGAATGAAGTTTCCACCTCTTCTCCAGGCGCCTGTTGCAGGGCCTGTCCCAGCTGAAGAAGTCTCCTAAATAAAAGGAGTCTGAAAATGAGGAGTGAACAAGGATCAGCGGTTCACCAGGGATGTTTGACAGAGAGAAGGGGACGGTGCAGTGGGTGCACATTGATTCACAGCCCTAAATGTGATTTAAAAGTCCAATTGGGATGAAAACTGCCAAACATTGAGTTGAAAGTGGTAAATATCTCCTCTGACACAACAGCAGAGGAGTCTGCTTCTCCTTTAGCAAGTGGATGTGCACTTTCTTCCTGGATTTGTGCTTCCCTTCGTGTCCCACCAACCTTTTTCCCCAGGTCGCTCCTTTTCCTTGCACTGTATTCCTGTGTCTTGCTGTTGCTGTTTTGTCTGGTTGTGCAAACTAATGGAAATAGTGCCACTGCTTTTCAGAATTGCACATTGTTTGTTCTGGCTGCTGTGTTGCAATCCCACAGACTTCTTTTGCAGACAGGGGTTTATTTTTTAAAGTTGGAATAGGAGTAGAATGTGAACTGTGAGGTGGGGTTGGTGTGGCTTTTGTACTGCGAGCAGTATGTGGAAAAAGGTGATAGCACAACTCACCAGGACTTCAAGAGGGCGTGCAATAGGGTCTTTGCAATGAAAGTGCTCCTTTCCTACCTCCAAATCTGTGCAACGTTGGGTTTTGGAGCTGGCAGATGTGACACAGGGCTTCTGGGAAACCTGTGCCTTCGGATGCCAGCTAGGATGCCCTTGGACCTAAAATGGCACCAAACATCTGAGTTTAGGTAACTTAACGTTATTGGAAATGACTGCAGGCTAAAATAATGCGTTCAGTTCAGTCTACAGTGGTGCAGATGAAGAAAATAGTCTGGGATTTGTGGATGTGTTTGTGGTTTGGAGGAAGATCTTGGGTGTGTGCAAGTTACGTGCAGCACTGACCGCCAGGTCAATGAGATGCTAAGACTCAGGAAAGCAATGAATAACAGAACACAGTCACTGCAAAAATCCCTGGTGTGCCCGTGTCTTGAAAGACAGAGCTCCGTTCCCTGCAGCTCTAAAAGGATGTTTTAGAAATGCAAGAGGTAGAGGGAGGGGTAGTGAAGGTGATGGGGAAGGTGGACGTGTTTCTGTCCAAGGCACGGCTGAATAGGCCAGAACTTTTCTGGTGTGGAAAGAGGTGACTGAGCAGGTGGTGGAGGTCTGTGTGGAAAACATGGTCTTTTATGGGCTTTTAGGGGGTAGCGCACAAAACAAGCGAATGAGAGGTTTCAAGTGAAAAGAACTTGGTTCTTTGTGCATCTAGAGAAAGTCCTGGCTACAGGAGGACACTGGATGCTCTGAGTTTACGTAGGTGCAAAATAAAAGAGACTTTATTCTGTGATGAAAGTTTATGTGAGTATCATCAGATACACCCGAGTTAACGGTTGCTGGCTGCTGGAGCAGTAGCACTGATGCTCCCCAGTCAGTAGTGCCAGTCAGAGGGGACATCTGGGAGCAAATGGGTGGTTCGGGTGCAGTCAGCAGCGCAGGCCTCGTGCAGGGAAGGTTGCAAATGTCTCTGGGAGTGTTTGATACTCCCCTTGATACGCATCTCTGGTTCTGTGAGGTCCCCAGAGAGCAGATCTTGAGCGTGATCAAAGAGATCGGATTCTGTGGTTGAAGCTTCCAGTCAAGGAGGGAGTGAGAAGTGGTGGTTGCTGAAGCACCGAGGCATTTCTGCAGGTGGTTGAAGGCCCAGCTGCTGCAGAACACTTCTCTGTGTGGCAGCGTGCAGATAAGATGCTGGGTGGATCACTGCGCTGTGATGGGCAGAGGGTTCCCACGCCAAGAACTTTGTCTGGATGACTGCTTGGCATCAAATACGTGGTGTCCTTGGAGAGCTGAGCTTCCGGGGTCAGTGTAGCTGTGACTTCGGATATCGCTGTTCCGTGCACAGTTACTGCTGAGTGTGCAGAGGGGGTCGGTGACCTGATAAACACGACTGTGATTGCAAACCCCTGGAGGGGCTCCAGGTGGCTGGGGCACGCTGTGACTCCCATGGATCATCCGGCCTCACCTGGGGCCTCTGGGTCTGCACCAGTGCTTCAGGGTTGGTTTTGGATCTGGTGTCAGCGCTCCCTGTGAGCAGAGCTGGGGACTGTGGGACACACGCGCTGCGGTCCCTTCTGTGGCTGTGGCTGAGCCGGCCAGGCTGACGGTGTCTCTTGGGTGTTGTGGTGCTCAGCAACACAGCTTCCAGATTTCACCAATCTAAAATGTCCTGGGCACCTCCCCACTCCCTTGAGACTGGTTTTGTGCTGCAGCAGGCTGCTTTGGGGAGCCGCGGCGTGCCTGGCATGCTCTGCTGCCCGCTGTGTGTGCACCCTTCTGGGGCTTGGTGGGGTTGGACCCCGTTCTCTGATGTGGCTATATCGTTCTGCCTGCTCTGACTGTGATTTCATTCTGTTTGTCTGCCTCTTTAGTGACGGTCCCATCTGTCGAATCTGTCATGAAGGTGGAAATGGGGAGGGACTGCTTTCCCCGTGTGACTGCACAGGAACACTGGGCACCGTGCACAAGAGCTGCCTGGAAAAATGGTTATCCTCCTCCAACACAAGTTACTGTGAGCTCTGCCACACAGAATTTGTTGTAGAGAGAAGACCGAGACCTTTGACAGAGGTACTGCTTTCTTCCTGCTTCACTTTTATTTCCTTACCATTTGACCAAAATTGACTGATTTGCCCTGCTGTCCTTGTGGTTCTTGCTCTCTCCTCCTCCTTGCAGTACCTTAGCACTCACAAAGATCAGTTTGTGTAGAGGGATCTGGTCTCGTGCCAGGCCAAGTTGCAGAATGCAGTGGTGGTGTTTGGGGCGAGCTGTGAGCCCCCCATGTACTCCCTGCCAGTGACTGTTTCCACAGTCCTACAGCCTTTGCCTTTGGATGTGCGTCAGTGCCTGAGCATTGAAATGCAGAGGTCACCACACGACTGATTAAAATATGAAGCTCTCAGAAATATGATTCTTTTTTCCTCTTAGTTTTAATCTTATCTTGGTGTTGCATTAGTGCAGCTCTCTTGCACGTGACTTCCTTGTCGTGTCTGCCTGAAAAGTGAGATGTGGCGATTGCTGATGCTGTTCATGAAAGATATGTCCTCTCTCCATTAGTACTGATGTGTGCCCCAAAGCTTTTGGGTGTTTCTCCTTCCTGTGGAGCTGTGCTGTGCTGCTGCTGCCGTGTGTTCTCCCCAGTTGAAGGAGAAAGCAGGACATGGCTCAGCCAGTCCCTATATCATCTTTGTATTGACCATTGGGACACCTGGTTATTCAGGTTATTCAGCCTCGCAGAGCTGAAAGGCACAATCCGGGCCCTGGTTGGTGGGTTGGGTGATTTGTTTGGTGGTTTGTTTTTTTTTATCACAAGGGTCTCTTCATTCCCCCGTTTAGGTGCTCTGCTGTGCTCACCTTTCAGCCTTCCTTTGGCAACTGCCTATTCTGGAGCCCTTTACATGTGGGGAGCAAGGACAGCTTAGACCAGGCCATCTTCTGACCTCAGAATTCAAGTGTACATCCCCAAAGAGGAATAAGTAAATCAGTGAGCTACAGTACAAAAGGCTGCAACTATTTTAGAAGATGGTTTAATCTGTCTAAATATGTATGAGTTGTGTTAGGAGAGCAGGTGGTTGATTTGGCTGCTGTCTCTGATGATGCTGCAGGACCTCGTAGGCGGGTGTTGCTGGCACACCTGAGGTCCAGCCCGGTAGACAAAAGCAAGGTCCTGCACCCCATTCAGAGCCCATCCACTGCCTGTGAAGCTGCAGGCAGTCTCTTCCCTGCATTGGCTTGCGGCTGGCTTGGCTTTGGGTGTGTGTTTGACACAACGAGCAGTTGCAGAGGTGCTTCAGTCTGCAGGTAGGGATTTACAGTTAACAGACTGATTGCCCAAGGCTTGGACAGTGTACATTCTGCTGGACCAAATGCTGGCTGGGTGGCCAGGCCTGGAGAGTGGTGGTGAATGGGCTTAAATTCAGTTGGTGGCCGGTCACAAGTGGTGTTCCC